GATTATACGTATCACACGATGATAAAATATTTGGTAAAAAGTATTGCCATATAGGTTTAACATGTGACGATAAAATTTTTTTTTTAAATTTATTCCCAGTTGTATGAAATAATATTTTGCATGTATAGGTATATGCGAATTTATTCTAGTATGTACGAGTATATAAAAGGAAAAAAATAATAAAAATTGTAATTCTGATGATTCATATCGATCAAAAAAATATATAGTATATTCGTACAATACATAGAAATGAAAGAGTAGTGTAGAGTAACAAAATGTATGGATAATTTTAATTCTATGAACATTTTTTGTTTTATGGAGCGAAAGGAAAATTATATAGATCAATAATTAGTGTTTTGGGGAACTGACTTTTCTTTCATGTACATTTTTTATATTATTAGGAATAAAATGTTATGTTTGTATGTAAGCACATTTTATCAAGTTGCTTTAGCTGTAAATTGATATATAAAAAAAAATTTGAAATCCTTTTTTTGGATGAAATTTTTTTTTTAATTTAGGGCTTTTATAAGTACTTCATGGCGGCCCTGTTTTTGTCACCCATTGCAAATGCATACTTTGCATATATAAGAAATCCGGCCTTATATGGCTTACAAAGGAAATAAATGTTGTCATATACAATCAACTCAAAAACATTTTTATTATTCTTCTTATGGATCGGCCTAATGAAAGCTTTCTTCCACACGGAAAGAAAAATACCCGAAGAATATGACTTTTTTACCCGAAGAATAAGACTTTTTTACCCGAAGAATGGGCGTCACAGAAGAGCATCGCAAATTTAAGCAGGTGCTACTCTTCTATTATTATTATTTATTAATTCAAATATTAAATATTGCACCTGCCATCTGGGGCAGGAGAAGGACTAGAACCCAAATTGGAAAGATATTTTCCAACCGCAAAATTTGTAAAGGTAGTTTAAGGATAGTTATGAATGTGCCGAAAGTCGTCAACATCTATTTGAAACAATTAAAACGAGTAAGACTCGGCGAAAAAGTTATTAAAAAATTCGGAAATAGTTTGGGAATTACTTGTATTCTCGTCGAATTTTAAGAAGGTTAGATAACTATCACTTTTCCTTCTATGGTTTATGAACTTCCAAAAAACTTTGGGATTACGTATTAAGTTATGCGAATTTTTATGGATATAGTAGTCGTAACATTATTTTAATGCTAATTTAAATTGATCACACGACAATCGGAAATTATCATAGCTCTTGTCGCCTTTAGTGGAGAGATATTTGCGTCACAGCTTGACTTTGTTTCGAAGTCCCTTTAACTCTTGTAAAAACCATGGCCAGAGCCAGTATCCTTAGATTCCAACACTGGAATAAACAATTCAAACGCAGCGAAAATGATTTTCATTTGAAGTTAAACAGGACGAGGAGTCTTCGCTTAGAGATATCAGGCCGGAGGTACCACAAGCGACTGTATTGGGCCCTATATTATACTTGCTATGCACGTGTGATATTTCTGAATCGGAAGGAGTGACAACAGCTACATTTGCTGATGATACAGCATTTATCGCAATTGGACCAAATGAAAATGAATCTACACAAAAATTACAAAAGGCAGTGATGAGATCTCAAAATGTACTAGAAAGTGGAATGTAAAGCTTAACGAGTTGAAGTCAGTACACGTGAAATTCACTAATAGGAAAATTGACAATTCATTTTCGGTCTTAAATGGCGTCTTAATTCCGTTCGCAAACACAACGAAGTATTTGGGAATGACATTGGACGCAAAGCTCAGATGGAACGAACACATAAAGAAAAAGAGATCTCAACTCGAGGAGGTATACAGGAAGTTTAAATGGCTTTTGGGAAGGCATTCTTCGTTATCAATATATAACAAAGTTTTGATATATAATCAAATATTGAATATTCAATATATTCAAAAATTTCAAAATGAGGTATTACGGGGCATTGTAAACGCCTCCTGGTATGTCCGTAATGCCGATATACACAGAGATATCACGATCCTAAGTGTCACAGACGAAATTAAAAAGTAAGCAGCCAATTATAAAATGCGTTTATCCAATCATGTCAACATCGAGGCGGCTCGATTGGTTGACAATCAAACCTTTGCTTATGTTAGTTTAATGTTTTTTATCTGGAATTGTTACAGCAAAAACGTTAAACATTAACAGAGTACTTAGTACGGTATTGTGCCAGATCAAAAACATGTAAATAATCAAAAAAGTTTGACCAAAATTAATGGTTAGTCGTTTCCGACTTATTTTACAATTTATTTTTAGGAGGGTGCTTTTAGTGGACTAAAGTCCCACACTACTGCTTTTCGCCTGGTAGTCTCTTTCGAGATTTTTCAGCCTTCCTCCTGGTAAAATAAAATATATATATATATTTGCAAAAGCTTTTTCAAATTTCTATAAACGCAGAAAGCTTTAATAATTCCATGCCATTAAAAAATATAATTATTTTTCTTAACTCATACTATTAACCCTTAAAATTGAGCATTATGTTAACTCTCTTCAAATTTATTTTTGCTTCATTTCAAAAACTGCATTAATAGTTCATCGTAAATATATTCAATTCTAGAAATAGTTTCGTATATGAGGGAAAGCAATTTTGATAGTGTAGTACATAGCTAGATTGTTTTTAAAAGCAAATTTTCACTTGGCAGTTTTCACTTGTTGACCCTGAAGTCAGTATATTTTTATTATTTAGTAATTTACCCTTTGAAGACAAGCATTTTTTCAGTTAACTTACATAATTAAATTACATAAAGCTACAATCAACCAAATGTCAGAGAAGGAAGTTCTGATCAATAAACCCAATCGCTCAAGTGTCTCATTGATACTGGGATAAATAAAAATTTCAATACAAAAAAGAATTTCATTTTGATATTAGGTCTAAATTCTTCCGACGGAGTCAAAAGAATATTATTAGAGACGGACTCAGAGTTATCTTCAAGCCATTGACCGGAAAATGAATACGCTCACAATATCACCAAAAATTGCAATACCATTGAACGGAAAGACATCCAAGTTAACAAAACCCGAATAAATCATCTGAACAATAAATCTAGAAATGAATATGCCGAACTTTCAAATAGCATCATAAATGCTTCGGTCCAATTAACGACTCTGAGGCAATGGATACTAACATTCGTGCTAAGATTAGAAGTTTAACAGATGAGCCCATATACTAGAAAATCTACTCCTACCATGGAAACCTTAGACTTAAAGAAGAGAGTCAAATCCAAAAGCTGATATACAAGATTGAATCACAAAACCTTCAAAAAGCCCGTACAATTCGCCCATTCGGATCATCTAAAAAATTGATTCTTCAAGTGTATATCAATATGGGATTTTAGTAGATTTCAAGAAACTCAGACAACAGTGAGCTTACACTAAAAGTTCTACACCATCATTGATTTGACCTCGGGATTCCACCAGACTATAATGAGAAAAGAAGATATAAAGAAAACTGCATTTTCGACATTGAACGGAAAGTTTGAACTTTTACGTTTGCCATTCGGACTGAAAAACGCACCTGCAATATTCCAGAGAAATAAATACGATGTACTAAAAGAATTCATATGGAAAGTATGCTATTGCTGAAGAAGAAATGTCGAAAAAATCTTCAAAATTGAAACCAAGTTCCTGATTTACATAACTAAAAGTAAAGGTAATGAAGCAGACCAAGATAAAATCATGGCTATCCAAAATATGAAATCACCAAGCTTGAAGGAGCTAAAAGGATTTCTTAATCTAACATCTAGTTACAGAAGATTTATCAAGGCTTTCTCACAAATTGCAAAACCGCTTACAAATCCAACTCCCGGAGAAAATGTAAAGTTTAAAACAAATCAATCAAAAATCAGTAGCATTAAAATTTAGTGAAAGTGAAATCGCATTAATATCTCAACCGAAATAATCTAATATTTCCTGATTTCGAACAACCCTATATATCGACAACAGACACTTAAAGCGAAGCTATAGTAACGCACACTTAACAAAACAGACAAAATATATACAACGAACGAGAGGGAGCTTTTAGCAATAATCTGGGTATTTAATAAATTAGATGCTATATATATGGAGTAACAAAAGCAAAAATTCTGAACGATCACCGACCTCTGTCGTTTGGTTTGGGCAATCGAAATAATAATGCTAAGATCAAGAGATGGCAATCCAAAATGGAAGAATACAACTACGAACTAATATATAGACGAAGAGTTACTAACAACGATGCTGGCGCACTATCGAGGATTTAATAAGAACCAACGTTAGAAAGAAGAGAACAGCAGTGATTTAATATCACACTGCGAAGCTTCAACTAATGGTTTTAAGAACAAGATAATCATTTCGACTGGACCTGTCAGTCTGGATTATGAAAATCCATATTCAAAAATTATAGGTACTATATTGGTTTACAAGAATTTACTAAATCAGCCTTACTAGAATACCTGGTGAAGATAATTTCGCCAAGATTAATAAATGGTATGAAAATTCTAGAAACAAAATAAAAATTTTGCAAGAATTATCCAGGGCTATAAAATACGCATTACACAAAGAATTCCAGGAGATAACTGCTCAAAATAAAACAAAACAAAAATAATAGAAGACACCCACGAAAGAGCTTATCGGAATTAGAAAATCAATAGAAACAAATATTACAAAAATATTGCTTCCCACAAATGGCGAGTTTATAAAAAGGTCTCAGAATAGTTTTTTGAAAAACCTGCTCGTGCAGAAGCTACAACGAAAAAATCAATTTTTCGGGCCCTTTTTACACTGCCATACTAAAGTTAAACGGCGTCATTCAACTTTTAATCTTGAAAATTTTACAAAAAAGCCGTGTGAAAATGGGATCATGAAAAAACAATTAGTCTTAAAAGTATTAATTAGAATTTTTGCACGTTTGAGAGGGAATTTATAACTTTTAGTCACGAGGAAGACTTAAGTTTTAGAAAATTTTAAACTTGAATAAAATTTTAGTATAATCATCTGAGGTATCAAGAAAGAGATTGTTTAATTAGTGTGCTTGAGGTATCAAGTATCTCCTAATCAACTTCTTCCTTACTATTATTTTAATCATAATAAAATGTTGTATACTAACAATTAGATTTAATAATTATAATATAATTTAATCAGTGTAATACTATGCCAAAATATTAAGTATGATCAATAATATACACATAAGAGTATTATTTGAATTTGAAACTTGTTCAATATTTTTTCTTTAATATTATTAACTTTACAGCATCATTGGAGAGAAGGAAACTTACCACCTACATCAAAATGCGCTGGTTGTAAAAAAACATGCTGGTCCTCAGAATGCCTTACAGGTATAAAATATTAGAGCTTTATATTAAGTTAAATTTAAAAAACTTTAAAGGCTATCGTTGTGAATGGTGCGGTATGACAAGTCATGGTGGTTGCAGAGGTTTTATAACAGCTGAGTGTTCATTTGGTGTATTACAACCAATTTACTTACCACCACATGCTGTTTCAATTCCACGAACTGAAGTACCTATAGAAGATATCATTGGAGTACAAGTGAAGTTGAAAAATACTATTTTACAAAGAGATACTTCATGCCGTAAGTTCAAAGTTTCAAAAGCTAAAATAATTTTCCCACATTTTTATTAACTTTTAATTTAATTTGAATGACCGTACACAAATCTTATTTATTCTGAAGCTCGTAGTATTTCTGAGGAATTTAGCAGCGGAGAAGCAGTTAGATTTCGTGAGGAAGAGAGTGGTAAAACAGAAACAACACCCACCGGAGCTCTTTTATTAAGCAGTAGCACCATATGTCCTAAACAGGATGGTACTCATAGTAAAGCCGAAAAAGACCGCGAAAAAAAAGATAAAGAACGTGAAGAACGAGATGAAGGTATTCTTATTATAGCCAAATTGAATTTATTTAACACAAGGCATATTTTCTTCAGAAATGATTAAAGTATTTGATGGGAATTCTTCTTTACGGAGAAGAATATTTCGTGTTATCACAGTTCCAAAAATATTTAATTTAGAACAGTTGTTGAAGACTTGTTTAAGAGCTTTTCACATAGCAAGAGAGCATCACGTAAGTTGTGTTGAATATTTTATTTATCGAACATTCTATATGCAGATTATGGAAAATTTTTGAAAATGTCATTTACTCGTGTTTTTATTTTATTTAACTACCCTTTTAAACTATTTATAGACAAACTGGTTTTAAACTCTAAAAAAAGAAATTAAACAGTAAAAATTAAAATTACAAACTACATTTTCAAAGTAAAACTTTAAAATTTTTTAATGATTAAAAAAATTAAAGAGCTTAACAATTTAAATTCATGAAAATCTGCTGATTTTTTATTCCGTTATTTTATAAAGTTGAGAAGGTTATATTCCATATAAAAAAAAATCATTTAAAAAAGGTTATATACTTTCATAAAAAAAAGTAAAAGAACGGATGTTATATTATTATAACACATTTATTAAAAACTAACAATTCAAGATAAGTTTCAAAAAAATTTTGTTAATAATAACAAAGTTTTTTTGGCAACGAAATATGTCCTAAAGTTAACACAACTTGTCAAAAAATTTAACAATAATTTTGGGCGAGAATAAATAAATTTAATAGATGCAGTAAAAACTAATTTGAAAAATTCCCTATGAATGTACTGAAATACCCTTAGTAGTATAAGCAAAGTATATCTATTAATAAGTAATTCGACTCGTTCCATTCCGTTTGTTTTCGTTTGCATTTTGCTCCCAAATTATATTCTAAAATATATGGTAATAATAGATGGTAATAAGAGTTGTGTAGGCAAGAAAGAAACAAAATATTGTAAACAAACGAGTGTATCAAAAACATTGAACTGAAATAAAATTAAATTAAGTTAGGTAAAAATTTTGTAATTTTTTTTTGATAATAACAAAATTTATTTTTCATTTTATTAAAGTTAGGTAAAAAATTCGAATGTATGAAAGCAAAACAGTTTGAAATTTCATGTATGAATATATACATGCATGTACCTGGTGCAGTAGATACACAGGAATAAAGTGATTTATAAAGAAAAAAAAAGGTGTATGCATACTGATTAATACTTACTTAAATATAATTATTACCGATATATGTTCTAAATTTATTAAGAATGAAATAAAACTAAAAAATTTAATTTATTTATTTTATTTATTAATAATCATTAATTACAAATGCTTAACAATAAAAAATTTTTGTTTTACATCAAATTCTTTTATAGTTTTATTGAAACTTTTTATTATGTGGTAAATTCTAATTCTAATATACAGTTTAATAAAATATGTTTTGTCAGACTTCTCACCACATTCATAGTTAAAATTATTTTTTAAGTGTTCATATATTTTACATTCTAAATTTTTTCTGTATAAATATTATTAAAAAGTTTAATAAAAGTATTTTCTAAATTCTTTAAATTATCCACGAAAATTGAAGGCATGCATTTCAATAACAAATTGAAAAGACTGTGTTTTAAAATATTTTCAAAAGTACATATTTACCTCTCCACATCTTTTGGCAACAAATGAAATGTTCGTGTCGGCTTTTTTTCCTCACTCACAAAATTACAACTCAAACACTTCAAATAATGTTTACCCATTATTATAAAAAAAATTTATTTTTTTTAACAACTATTTAAATTTTTTTTTAATATTATACGTCTTTTTGAAATTTATTTTTATTATTTTTCAAAATTATATTACATAAATTATAATAATTTTTTTTAAACACTTTTTTCCGCTTCGCTTTTATAATATGAATACACCTTTTTTGCCACCTTGTACTGGAATAAGTTACAGAAATAAAACTCCCGCCTTTAAAATTCTTAATATTTTTTCCTATACTTTATATAGGGAAAAATAAATAACTCCCGCTTTTGAAAATACATTATAAAAAAACAGGTAGACATCTATTGCGTACTTTTTCTCTCTCCAAAAATTCTTATGTGTATGAAAATGAAAATAAGAAGGTATACTGCTTAACTCTTTTAGCTAAGGGAATTTTTTGTATACAAATATTGATGAGTGATTGCATTAGTGTGATGTAAATGGAGAGTCGAACTACTTATTAATAGATATACTTTGAGTAAAAGTGTACTTCTCCTATAAAATTGATATACAAAAATAATGTGAGTGAATGAAAGACATTTTACAAGTCCAACTTCTGCGAGCAAACCAATATACGAAAAAAAAGCTTAAGTCATTAAAAGTAAAAACAATAGAATACAAAATAAAAAATATCAGCAAAACTTTTAGTGAGAATAATGTCTTTATTTCTAACAAGTCCCAATACTCAACTTTTTTTACGAAATATTGCGAATTGTTGCCATCGTCTCTGTTTTTACCGACCGTATTGTGTATACAATAGGTAGCTTATGTGATGGCAACAAATTTTGCATATCCAGTTTTCGGTGGGAATGCACTTCTCCATAGTAGGGAAGTGTAAATAAACTATTTTTAGCAACCTGTCGGTTGTTGGTCTGTCGGTCTGACGGTCTGTCGGTCTGTGTGTGCACGCGTGTATCTCAAGTTCTGCTGAACCGATTTTGATGAAATTTCATATGTAAGTTTATATCCACCATGGCACGGATTGATCAACTTTTGGGATATATCAGACCTCGGGAACTGCACTTTTTTGCGGGCCTGTTTTACATTTTTGAACATTTTGAAGAAAATATTCAACCGATTTACTTGAAATTTCATATACATATAAGCTTTGCTCGATCGTCCGCGAAAATTCCTATGTTTTGGAAGAAATCAGGCATCGGCAAGTAGACGTTTACTATGGGCCAAATATACATTTTTGTGTATATTAAGAGAAATAATCAACCGATTTCATTGAAATTTAATATATGAATTCCTCGTATTAAAGCAATGAACATATAAATTTTTTGGAAAGATCAGGGCTCGAAAACTGATTTGCGGGCCGATTTTACACTTTTCACCATATCTGCGGAACGAATTGATGGAAATTCTTGAAATTTGATATTTGAGTTTTGGTTTTTACCGAAACTAACTGGCGAGTTTTTCAGGGAAATCGGGTAGCACAAAGCGAAACTCTATTAAGAGGCAAATTTACATTTTTACTAATGTCCTTAAAATTGGAAAGAAGTATTCAACAGACATTTTTATAATATTCTGTAACACTTTCACTTAACTAGACAATACGTAACTTTTTTTACGTAAAAAAGAGTTTAATATTTTAAAAAACCTCAGGAACTATGAGAGAAATCAGAAAGCTCGACCTTATTTTATATGGGTTTTTTTAAATCGAAGTAGCTATTTTTTGAGAAGAAATGTAGGTTAACTCAAGTTATGGGAAGTAACTGTAGCATCAAGTTGAAAATATATAATAAAAGGATAATTATTATACATTGAAATGAATAACGACATAGTAACAAAAAAATTTGAAGAGGGAATTAGAAAATAATATCTAAAATACAATTAAATATTATTTTACCAATACAAATTTTATATACACTTCAAAATTTTACCTCTGTTTTTATCTGAGAAAAATTTTTAAAACTTAATATATTACCTGAGTAAAAAAATATTTAAAAGGTCTTGAAAAAGACAATGTATGATTATATATATTTTTATGACCAGATTTGAATATTTTTTTTTTTATTTTTGAAATAAATAGTATCTTAGCAAGTAACTAAAAAATTCCAATTGTAAAATGACAAGTAGTGGATACTCATGTAAATTTTTGTTCGTCTGCATTTAACATTAAAATTCACACACAAGCAAGGCAATTTTATAAATAGATTGCTCATAGATAGATTGCTAATAAAATATGAAAATAGAGCACAACAAAATTGTAGAAGTACTCAATATAGCATATAAAATGTACATGAAAAATCATACATCTTTCCTCGTTACACTTGAAATCACACTGAAATATGAATTTCAAATTTTTTTTCATTTTTTTCTTTCCTCCTACATTTATTTATTTTTCGTGCAATAGACTTTAAATGGGAAGCTTTTTAAAAAGTGTGTACAAAATCCTGAGATTTTTTTAAGATATTAAATTTTTTTAAATTAAAAAAAAAGAAAAATTAAAAAGAAATATGACACGATCAGTGGCATTCAAAGAAAGAAACAGGAATGAAGGCAATAATTCGTAATATTTCATAAAATAATGAGTATTGGGACCAAAGTATATCTCTTAATAACTAGTTCGACTCTCCGTTTACATTACACTAATCCAATCACTCACCAATTTTTGTACACAAAAAATTCCCTAAGCCGAAAGAGTTAAGCAATATACCTTCTTATTTTCATTTTTATACACATAAGAATTTTTCGAGAGTGAAACAGTACGCAATAGATGTCTACCTGTTTTTTACAACGTATTTTTAAAAGCGGGAGTTATTTAATTTTTCGTAAATAAAGTATAGGAAAATATATTAAGAATTTTAAAAGCGGAGTTTTATTTCTGTAACTTATTCCAAGATGGGAGAAATAGTGTATCCATATTATAAAAGCGAAGCGGTTTAAAAACAAAATTTGGCTACTAAAATAAAAAAATTATAAAATACATACATACACGCGTGTCAGTAATAGGTATTTTTTTTATAAATTTCTTAATTACTATACCTCGTCTACATTGCGGCTTGACGTGAAAACAGCTCGAAACTCAAGCTGCGTTTTTGCTATGTTAGCTTAAAAGTCCAAAAACTACGTTTAGCTATTAAGTTTCAAATTATTATTAACATTTCAAATCAAGCAAGCAACTTGAGTGAAGCCTGCTTTAGGTCAAGTAACGTTTGTAAAGACAATCAAAAGCTTGAAGCAGCCATATAAACGGGGTACATACATATTACTACATCATATTGTGTATCCACCTTGAATAGGTATGTACCGTATAACAAAGTATAAAATTTCAAATTTTTAACTATTACTTTCATACATTCGAATGTTTTTACATAACTTTTATGAAATGAAACATAAAATATGAAAAAAAAAAAAATTTTGTTATCAAAATAAAAATAACAAAATTTTACTTAACTTAATTTAATTTTATTTCAGTTCAATGTTTTTGATTCACTCGTTTGCTTACAATATTTTGTTTCTTTCTTGCCTACACAACTCTTTTTGCCATCTATTTTTAAATAAAAATGGAATATTTTAAGAATTTGGCAGCAGAATGCAAACGAAAACTAACGGAATGGAACGAGTCGAACTACTAATAGATATACTTTGATAAGGACTAGTTAGATGTAAAGACATTATTCTCAATGAACGGCGCTGATCATGGAGAATATTAAAAAAAAAATTGTCAAAGAAAAAAATAAAACAAAAATATACATGCAATGCAATGCGCACAAAGTTTCTACGTTGCTGATGAAGAAGGTATGAAACAAGAAAGCTTTTGTGACGAAAATAAAATTTTAAAAATGAATGAAAAGAAAAAATATGAATAAGAAAGTTAGGTTACTTATGATTATGAATGAAACTGAAAGTGTATGCTGAGAAAATGTAAATTATGAAAATATAAAAACAAAACCTTATTTTGATGTATTATATGCATTAAGTTTTGTTTTAAAATTTAATATGTAGGAATATATACAAAAATAAAATCAAAAAATTTGAAAATTGTTTGAACCTAAATACCGTACCTATAAAATTAATTTAAGCAAATTTTATGACACATGTTTTTTTATATAAAACATTGAAACCTAGAAGGCGATTCTAATATGGGTAATGTAAATTCCAAAATATATAACATATTGTATTAACAAAGTTTTAAAAAATAAAATTTTTCAGAAAAAAATTCAAAATTGATTAACGAGTTAGCTAACATACTCGTATACCTTGCATTATCCAGTAAAAATAAATCTTTATAGAAATCATTAACTTGTACAAAAACTTGATCAGTTGTGGGAAATAGATTTATGTAATTTAAATATGTTTATTATTTAAATTTTTACAAGTTTTTGTTAAGAGTAATCGATGTGTTTCCCAAGTTTGCTTGGGTAGTACCTTTAAAACGGAAAACAGGACTTGAGGTTTCAAAAGCTTTTAGTAAAATTATTTCAGGAAGTCCAAGAAAACCAGAAACTGTTCAATCAGATGAGGGTATTGAATTTAAAAATGTAAACTTTAAAAGTTTTTTAAAACATAATAAGGAGCGCGTACGTAGAAACACTTTTGAACATGGATATACAGAAAAACGAACAAAAGAAATTTTTATAGTCGATAAAGATGTAAATAGACAACGTTATTTATTATTTGTACGGCAGGGTTTGGAAGGTAAAGAAATAAACGGAAGTTTTTATTATCAACAGTTACAAAAAGTTTATGCTTAAATAATGATCGAGTTCCATCACCCACTTACAATTATAATTGCCATCTAGCTCAAGAAAAGCAACATTTATATGCAATTTAATCAATCAAATGAAGAATCTAGTTCAGCCTGAAATAGAACATAATGTGGTGCAATCCAGAAAATAACGCAATGTGAAAAAACTTAAATTTCAAGCAAATTAAATAATTTAATGAAATTGCTGTAAATTTGAATAATGATAGTATTCCAACGTTGTTTATTTTGTTTATCGCAACTTCATTTATACTGGCATCGCAAAATATTTTTCAACAGAGAGAATTCTGTAGAGACATATCCTGAATGCAAAATACTTGGTGTTATTTAAAAGTCCACGAGGTAAATCGCAAATTTTATCTTTGAAATGTTTAATGTTTTCTGCCACAAATAGTACCAGAAAACCTTAAGAAATTTCAAAAAGTATATAATGAGACAACATCAGAGCTATATTTTCTTAGACCTGACTCAAGTTATAAACGATTTATGAATCTCGATTCCGAACTGATGTACTTGATGATAAAATAAAAGGTTGTGTGCTTTTGCACACTAGATCAATTAAAAAATAAAACGATATGTGAGAAATATGAAACGTTTGATAGCAACCCAGCATATACTGCATACATTAACTGCATACATGTAAAAAGTATAAAACAAAACTTATATAAAATATTTATACGAAATATTTTAATTAGAAATTGTGACTTTGAGGCGATTAAACCTTTGTGTGAAATTTCCAAAAAAATCTATGAACGCTAAGCGTAAGCTCATTAAACAAAAAGAAGGTTTCTTGTCAACGCTAATTGGTACAGTTTTTTCTGGCTTCCTAGGAAAATTTATTTTTAAATATACAAAATGAGCAACACGTTAAAACGCATGATTGCTATTGAACTAGACCTATATAATAAACTAACAGAAACTAAACGATAGCAAACTCTCGGATATTTATATTATTATCATTATCATTATTATTATTATTATTATTATTATTATTATTATTATTATTATTATTATTATTATTATTATTATTATTATTATTATTATTATTATTATTATTATTATTATTATTATTATTATTATTATTATTATTATTATTATTATTATTATTATTATTATTATTATTATTATTATTATTATTATTATTATTATTATTATTATTATTATTATTATTATTATTATTATTATTATTATTATTATTATTATTATTATTATTATTATTATTATTATTATTATTATTATTATTATTATTATTATTATTATTATTATTATTATTATTATTATTATTATTATTATTATTATTATTATTATTATTATTATTATTATTATTATTATTATTATTATTATTATTATTATTATTATTATTATTATTATTATTATTATTATTATTATTATTATTATTATTATTATTATTATTATTATTATTATTATTATTATTATTATTATTATTATTATTATTATTATTATTATTATTATTATTATTATTATTATTATTATTATTATTATTATTATTATTATTATTATTATTATTATTATTATTATTATTATTATTATTATTATTATTATTATTATTATTATTATTATTATTATTACTATTATTATTATTATTATTATTATTATTATTATTATTATTATTATTATTATTATTATTATTATTATTATTATTATTATTATTATTATTATTATTATTATTATTATTATTATTATTATTATTATTATTATTATTATTATTATTATTATTATTATTATTATTATTATTATTATTATTATTATTATTATTATTATTATTATTATTATTATTATTATTATTATTATTATTATTATTATTATTATTATTATTATTATTATTATTATTATTATTATTATTATTATTATTATTATTATTATTATTATTATTATTATTATTATTATTATTATTATTATTATTATTATTATTATTATTATTATTATTATTATTATTATTATTATTATTATTATTATTATTATTATTATTATTATTATTATTATTATTATTATTATTATTATTATTATTATTATTATTATTATTATTATTATTATTATTATTATTATTATTATTATTATTATTATTATTATTATTATTATTATTATTATTATTATTATTATTATTATTATTATTATTATTATTATTATTATTATTATTATTATTATTATTATTATTATTATTATTATTATTATTATTATTATTATTATTATTATTATTATTATTATTATTATTATTATTATTATTATTATTATTATTATTATTATTATTATTATTATTATTATTATTATTATTATTATTATTATTATTATTATTATTATTATTATTATTATTATTATTATTATTATTATTATTATTATTATTATTATTATTATTATTATTATTATTATTATTATTATTATTATTATTATTATTATTATTATTATTATTATTATTATTATTATTATTATTATTATTATTATTATTATTATTATTATTATTATTATTATTATTATTATTATTATTATTATTATTATTATTATTATTATTATTATTATTATTATTATTATTATTATTATTATTATTATTATTATTATTATTATTATTATTATTATTATTATTATTATTATTATTATTATTATTATTATTATTATTATTATTATTATTATTATTATTATTATTATTATTATTATTATTATTATTATTATTATTATTATTATTATTATTATTATTATTATTATTATTATTATTATTATTATTATTATTATTATTATTATTATTATTATTATTATTATTATTATTATTATTATTATTATTATTATTATTATTATTATTATTATTATTATTATTATTATTATTATTATTATTATTATTATTATTATTATTATTATTATTATTATTATTATTATTATTATTATTATTATTATTATTATTATTATTATTATTATTATTATTATTATTATTATTATTATTATTATTATTATTATTATTATTATTATTATTATTATTATTATTATTATTATTATTATTATTATTATTATTATTATTATTATTATTATTATTATTATTATTATTATTATTATTATTATTATTATTATTATTATTATTATTATTATTATTATTATTATTATTATTATTATTATTATTATTATTATTATTATTATTATTATTATTATTATTATTATTATTATTATTATTATTATTATTATTATTATTATTATTATTATTATTATTATTATTATTATTATTATTATTATTATTATTATTATTATTATTATTATTATTATTATTATTATTATTATTATTATTATTATTATTATTATTATTATTATTATTATTATTATTATTATTATTATTATTATTATTATTATTATTATTATTATTATTATTATTATTATTATTATTATTATTATTATTATTATTATTATTATTATTATTATTATTATTATTATTATTATTATTATTATTATTATTATTATTATTATTATTATTATTATTATTATTATTATTATTATTATTATTATTATTATTATTATTATTATTATTATTATTATTATTATTATTATTATTATTATTATTATTATTATTATTATTATTATTATTATTATTATTATTATTATTATTATTATTATTATTATTATTATTATTATTATTATTATTATTATTATTATTATTATTATTATTATTATTATTATTATTATTATTATTATTATTATTATTATTATTATTATTATTATTATTATTATTATTATTATTATTATTATTATTATTATTATTATTATTATTATTATTATTATTATTATTATTATTATTATTATTATTATTATTATTATTATTATTATTATTATTATTATTATTATTATTATTATTATTATTATTAT